ATCTGAAGTAGCTTTACACTTCTGGCTAATTATTCTTCATTTTTAATCTGAGTGGAAAGCCATTCGGTCGAAGCTAGCAACAGTAGCAACTAGCGGCTACAGCGTGTGATTCTGGCCATTTTATCTGCAGATGCAGCAAGGAAAAAAAAAAGTCTGCCCTCCGCACTGAGTCAAGAGATAATTCATACTTACCAAAAACACGGGGATATCCCCGGACTTAGAACTACTTGGCATGCATAGGTCACCTCTTCAAATGGGCAAAGCCGCTGCTGGGCAGGGCTGTGTATCCTCAGGAGCTCAGCAGCAGCAGCCCGTCTGATAGAGAGACGATGAGGGAGGGGGGCTGCCCTCAATGATGTCATCAGTTCACATGCAAAGTAACGCGTTACATGTACTCGCTGCATTCAGAAAAGTACTTGATGGAGTGTGTCTTTTCCCAGTGAAGCTTCAAACATTCAAACGGATGCAGACATCCGTGGGCTGGAAAGGAAAGCATTTGTCTATTTTTCCACTGGTTGTTCTGGGTGGATGCAGCAGAATTCCTGGGAAAGAAACTCGGAGGGAATTTTAGATATTAATATTTTTGATCTCTCTCTCTCACGCAATTTTGTTCCATTCTACAGCGCTTCTAGTATTTATACTATGTGGACACTGCAGTTTTATAGATTATAATTCTAACAGGGAAACTCACACAGAGCAATGATAAACAAAAGAGATGTGAAAGTACAAAGCTACAAAGTTATGCAGTATCTACAACATTAGTATATTAATAGCACGTGTCCTCCTCGGTTATTACCTTAAGCTGAATACGGACTATGTTGGGTTTTTTTTATTATTGTTTAATTTTTTTTCTGATTCTAGCCTTTTCTGATTCCATTAATCTATTTTCCCATTAAGATATATTTTATGATATTTCTATATATGATGTTAACGTACACATTAATGTAGTAAATATTTTGAAGTGGACTGAACTGTAATATTAACTATCTGGCACATTTTATTTACAAAGATTTTGGCCTACTGTGACTCATGGGCTTTTGTTGCTAGGAAACAAATAATGCGGAACTCTAGCGCTTGTCGTTGGTTGCGCCCGGACCAGTAGTTCGGTTGCACGCTGTGCCCTTGACTTCCTACGAGAGGTGATAGCCGATGAATAGTAGTAGTAGGCATCTCGGAAATTATTAAATAAGGTCTGAACTAAGGGGCACATTTCTCGCCATGGGCTTTATTCCAGAAGAGGGGAAGTCTCTGCCTCCTCCGGGGCTCGTGAACAGGAATTCGCTGTGGCTGGCGGGTGTAGGCTGGGTCTCCGCTGTGCTGCACAACGCAATCAACCACAGGCCGCCAGTGAAATCAGGTTAGCATTTTACCTGTCTTTCAGACTGGTGCACGAACGGACGCTTTCCTTTCAAGCATATGAAACACTTAATTTTAAAAAAGAAATCCGAGTATTTAGTAAATAAATGTTCTCTCAGATTAGTAACTGGTTGTGAGCTGTCCACAGTGGTCGCAGCGTGTTTACGTTTCCTTTAGCATTAAAATAGCGATAAATATCAAAAACATAGTCAAGAAATTTGGACACCATAAAAACAAGATCTTTCATTATCCAGCACATGACACAGAGGATGATTAAAATCAAGTTTTAAATTGAACAAAAATACATGCATAATTTCCTTAGGGATTAATAAAGTATTCTGATTCTGAAGTCTAACTAAACAAAATAAACAAAACTGAAAACTAAATGTTCGTTTGTTAATTTTTTTTAAAGAAGTCTAGCGTTACATTTTGTCGTTATTGTTTCTCCCTAAAGAAATTAGTATTAATAATGGTTGTGCCACATTGGGTTTTGTTTTGTGTTTCCTGTCGTCTTTGTTTTGGTAATATCTAGCTATGAAGTGTTGATATAAAATGCGCTGTCAAAAAGCTAGGTGCAGTAAGCTAAAATGTAAGCCTCCACCTATTAATTCAATTTGTTTTTGTTTGCATTTTTTGCAATCCTATTTTTTTTTTTTTTTTTTTTTTTTTTAGAGAAAACCTTATAATGTGCAAGCTTTTGGTTTCTCATAACCACAGTAAGATTTTATTATTGTGCTTTGAAGTATCTTGCAAATATATCTACTTTAGTTTGCTGTATGCTAGCTGTATCTGATCAATAAATCTTGCATCGTTTTCCATGTTTTCTCTTTAAGGTGTCCATCGACAGTTTCTGCTGGCAACCATTGGCTGGTTCATTGGCTACCATGTTACCAAATATGAAAATTACACTTATGCTAGACTCGATCGAGACATGAATGAGTATATCAAACTCCACCCGGACAAATTTGTACCAAAGGGTAAGTTCATTTTTATGTCTTTGCTCTATCAGAAGACACAAGAGCCCAACACTACCTCTTCTTTATTGTATGAAACCCTTTTTTTTCATTGAAAAAAGAGCTTTTAAACTAACATTCACACACACTTAAGTGGATGCATCAGAAGGCAAGTTTCTTGCCCAAGGATACTTTGACATTCAGATCCGAAGAATCAGGGATCAAACCACCAACTTCACGATTAGTAGTACAGCCACAGCCAATGCAGAATTTGTGTATTGTGAGTGGCTGCCACCATTCACCGTTCTTTAGCTGATGTAGCTTTCATGATTTTCTTTCAAATTAAATTATACATAATAATCTATTTTCATACATGTCCTTGTTTTCAAAAAACACCAACACAGAACAGGCTCAGCAACACAGGTGGAAATTATGTTTATGCACACACCACTTCAGATTATTTTTTGTTTGTTTGTTGTCTTTGGATGATGTTAAATCCTGTGTAGTGTAATTGTGAAATAGTTTCTTTAGCGTTTAAGTATGTAATATGTACCCTGTTCCAAATTCAAATCCCAGATTGTCTGAAAGCAAGAAAAAATAATGCTGTACCTTTAGAATGTGTATCTACATAATTGAAATGTGTTCAAAAATGTTCAAAGCTTGAGAAATCCATAATCTTATTTCTAATATTTCAGTCACCTGTCAGTGGAAAATCAACTTTATATTTGATGGCCACCTAGCTTATCCATACAGTAATGTTACGGGGTGATGCAAATTTATTGCAAATTAAATAAATGTAACAAAAAGTAAAGATTACCTCGTCTGTGAAAATGGCTTCTTTCTGAGTTGCATCAAATTTTCAGTAGCATTGATGCTGATAGTTACAGCTCCCATGATCCCACACTACTTTCCAGTGCCATCAAACTAGGCTTGATGTTATTGTTTTGATTGAGAAATGCCACGGGGGAAGAAATTAGACTGTGCAGTGAAGTGCTGTAGGACATTTACTCCGATTAAATCTTATGAAACGTTGGGTCATGTATGTTTGTAATCAAATTGTTGCTTTTGGTTTCTTTTGTCTTACCAGAGCAAAAGACCTTTGCTGAGATTGTTGAGCCTTTCCATCCTGTGCGCTAAGCATCAGTGGCTGCGGAGAGAGGAAACATTCACAGTTGCCGCCTGTGTTGAGCAGCCTTTTTGTGAGAGCATTCTGTCATATATTGTTTGAAATATAGATATGTAAATAAAAAGAATAAACTGAACCCACAAACTCAATTTTGTGACTGACTTTATAAGTGAAAACAAAAAGTTGAATTCTTTACAAACGTAGGAAACTCTTATATTCTTTAACAAGTCATCTTTCTTGTGGTGTTTGCTTATATAAAAGGGATTAGAGCAGGGCGATATGACCAAAAATATTTATCACGATATACATTTGCAAATTTGTGATAACGATATAACTGACGATATAATTGACACTAGACAAAATACTTTACAACTCCACAACTTTATTAGTGCAAAAAAACCCATCAATGTATTTTCACTTAAACGTGCAGCTGTTTTTATGTGCATTAAAGTTATATAAAAATGTAACAGTGCAAATGCAAATTCCTTGCTGACAGTTTAACCAAAAGGCATTTCCAGTGGAAATTGGCCGACATACCCTCAACATAACCATGTATAATATCCACTAAAGTTAAAAAGAGGTTATACACACAATACGGTAATATTATGTTGAAACACAGTACGTGTCACTCCGCGAGGTTCCTGCCTACGGCAGCGGTAATGCTCCGACAATGGTCGTGTCCAAATTCATGGGCTGCATCCTCCTGAGGCCGCATTTGTAGACCGATTACGTCACAGCGACGCGCCGAAGGCTGTCCAAATTCGTAGACTCCTCCGAATGCAGCCGACAAATG